AACCAGCCCTTCACACTTTGAGCATAGCTCAGAGCCAAGTAAATGAATTTGTCCTTCATCAAAATAATGTTGCACAATAATCTGAAATTCTAAACATTGTCATTTAAGTTTTTAGTGGAGTCAGATCAACGGGCCACAAAAGTGGTGAGCCCTTCGACGAACATCTTCTGATCTAGATGGGGACAAAATCAAACTACGGGCCACAAAAGTGGTGAGCCAGACGTGATCCAATTATGTGGCCCAATGGTTCTCGACTCCATTTTACATTGTATGTAAGATTGGAATCGCCTATTCTCGTATATTATCGTCGACTTAAATCACGTTAGTCAGTAACGGAATTTAGATAAGTCAAATAACGAGAATGGGATTTTGAATACATATATTTTGTATGTAAAGTGAATGTGATAGAACAGAGCAAAAGTGACGCGCAGGAAAGATGGCTGGGAAGCCAACTCCCCATTTTAGTAAAGCCTTACTCAATATTTATAGTCAGACAAAATAAAGCTACAGACATGTGATTAATAGGATAAGAAGGGCACACACATATACGCTCATATAAAAACAGTCAAGACTGACAAGCGAATTAATAACAAGGTCAAAGTATGGCTCGAGTAGAATGAATAAAATAGGATGTCCGGAAGCTAGAATAAGGTATATGGGCTTGGCATAATAACTGACACTACAAGTTATTCATTTATCAATAAATTACCACTTGAAGTAGGTTTATATTATCCAACATTACGAAATTTCACATCTCTACATCTAAAAAATAAGAAACTCTTACGATGAAAATGAAATGATTAGAGGACATTGGAAACCCACATACCAGTTACAGATTGTTTTGTTCATCTTTATGACATGCTTTAAGTGTGTCAAATTGTGATACTATATGATTTCCTTAGAATGAATTATATATAAGTAAAACTCAATATTTAGATAAAAGCGAAGAATAAATTCATTTGTGCCTCAACAATCGATTTAGATCAGAATGGGTTTTGTGGAGATTTTCGAAATTTCACTGGTTGAAATCATGAGTCAATTGAAGCTAGACCACCATGGAAAACCTGGAAGCACTGGACGGCCGCTTCGTCCTAGTACGGGACTCCTCAGTGGCAGTGCGTATCCTCGATCCCGCCCCCCTTCGCGAGATTTGAACGCAGGACCTATCAGTCTCGCGCCAGGCGCTTAACCAACTAGACCACTGAGCCGGCCGGCATCCAACGGTGTTAATGTGTAACTTCAACTAATCTACGAAATTGCGCCACCGTACACCATTGTCATCAGTGAGTTGATATCTCACAACAGACCTGATTGAACTCCACTGGTCACGGCTTCTCACTAGAACTCCAGGAGTATCTCCAGGTTTTCCATGGTGGTCTAGCTTCAATTGACTCTTGATTTCAACCAGTGAAATCAATTTAGAGCTATGTCACATAAATTCTTTAACAGTTGATTATGCTTATTACTTGGATTTCAATCAATATTTTTTTCATTTTTCAATGCATCTCAAACTAGTAGTTAGGATGTTATGGAATAATACTTTCCATATCCTAATTAAACCCTACTACTTTCCCAGCATACTATATCAGCTAGTATCCCATATTTTTAACGTTTGTTGCCATGTGTGTTTTCCAATCATTTTCATGAATTAAGGTTTACGTCATGATTAACTTATTTATAACTTGAAACATTACACTTAATTATAGAATCACTGTTTTATTACTTTTACTGTATGTAATTAATGGACGTAAACTTCATGTCCCTTATTTTTCTCTTTCCAAATATATTTCACTGGATTATACTCCTTGAATGGCATCTTCAAACCTTAATCTTTCTGATTACTACTTATACTTTTACTACCTCTACCACTATGGGATTTAAATCGACAATTGTATCTCTGTGACAATGTAGTATGACAACTTGAACTAATGTACGTACGTACGAAGTTCTATGTTGTTACTGACTGACTGACTAACTGATATATGTCATTTGATAAATAAAAGTTTTTGTTTGTACTGCATATGATAAAACACACTACTATCAAATATGAATATCAAGTACACTTTCATGTATTCATCTCTTTGAGTCGGAAATTTTCTTTGGAACTTGGTGATACTATTCGATCATATATGATGTAACACAATTCAAATTAAATAATTTTAAAAAATCACGTCTTTTAACTAATAAATGATTGATTATTGAGTTCGAATCTTTATCCATGTGTTACGTATACCCAACCACCAACTGCCCCGACGTGTGATGTTTTAATGGTGTACAAGTAGATTAAAAGAAAGCTAGGTGCGGCCAGACCAAAACATGGTACAAATCCATGAAGTCATTGACAAGTGAACTGAGCCATGTTGTTAAGTGTAGACTACCTGATTGGGGTCCACGAGATGATAGCAACCGATGGTTAGAGACCTTGAATAATAATAATAATAACAATAATAATAATAATAATAATTATTATTATTATTAGGTTTATTCAGTATTATATTTTTTGTACAATATAGAATTATCAGCGTAAAGTATTTCAACAAGTTTCCGTTTCTTTCTTCTTGGTCGCTCCTGGCGATAAATATTGAGTGATCGCCAGTTAGATGTTAGCAGTTCAGTAAATGGACATCTGAATAATGTGCATTATTTTCGCTGTATATTGCCAGCAACCACATTGTCTCTTATTGAGTTTTTTGTAACTTTGACAATGAAAGGTTGTACACTTTTCAGAAACGCAGCAGAATAGGTTATGCGATTAATAAACATAATGATATATTAAAACAAACAAAATTAGATAACTTGTTGAAATATCTAGATGACAGGAACAGGTAGCCCAGATGATCAAGCAGGCCACCCTTTATGATATGGCTCGAAATCGTTTGCAGTGGTGCAGTTTCATCCACTCTTTGTGTTCTCCCAAATTCTAATCTCCTGAATCCTCCTTGTCTCTTTTTTTCTCTTTCCAAATTTATTTCACTAGATTATACTCTTTAAATAACATCTTCAAACCCTAGTCTTTCCGATTACTGCTTATACTCTTTCTACCTCTACTATTATGGGATTTGAATTGACAATTTTATCTCTGTGTTAATATGGTATGGCAACTCGAACTGATGTACGTACGTACGAACGAAGTTCTACGTTTTTACTAACTGACCGAATCTTTATTCATTACCTTCTATTGTATCTGATTAGTTAATTAATAATTACCCTTAATTCTATAATGTAATTTATTTATCAAGTATACTCAGTTGTTATGACACTATTTGATATGGTTTAATAATCTGAATCTAAATAAAAATGATATAGGACATTATTTCTTATTGATTAATAGTTAAATACTTGAATTATAATGGTCACTGCTCTCTATAATTCATTCAACAAAAAAAACTTAACTTATCTTGTTAGTAGTACAATTCTATGTATATATAGTTGTTATGATTAACATTTTTAAATAAATGGTAACCTACATTTAAGAAACAAACAAACAAACAAACAAACAAAGGATAGGACATTTTCAGATCTGTCACATTCAATATTCATCATTTATCTTCTTCTTTTTTTTAAAGAAAAATTTTCAATGAAATCATTTAATTTATCTATTGAAAGATAATCTAAATTGATTAGATATCTTGTTGTTATTGGCCTCATTTCTAGCACCTTCAGTAAGTTTTATTATTCCGAAAAGAAAGATAATACCTAGGGTCATTGAAAAATCGGCTGAATGTGATAAATGCACGTGATTAGTCACAAAAAAAAAATGACTTACATTTCCTAGGCGTCATACATACATCACTGATGGGTTAATTTCCCAAGGGATAAATGAATGAATGAATGAATGAGCATACATAAATGCTGATTTTGTTATTCAATAAAATTCCTTCTCCGTTCTTAGTCTTTTCATTTAAGTAACCAATTAGGATCGTGTATAGGAAGATCACGTATCGGTCTCAAAATTGGACATTGCATAATATAACACTTGTAATTATAAACGATAATATATTGTGGCAATCCGCTCAAACTGCTTATATTCTAACATAGACTGACCAATTGTAGTTTTAAATGTCAACAGTGAGAAAATTTATACCCTAACAAATTACTTTATTCCCATTGAACAAGTTGATGGCTATCTGAACTCAGTAGCTTAGTGAATAATAACACGTTGATGTTTAAAACTATAGGTACTGGGTTCAAATACCACTGTAAACATCAACACTGAGATTCAGGTATATCCGATTGAAGAATGTCAAATAAGATAAGTCTTGTCGAAATCCAATGAAACAGTTTTGATTTATATTTTTTTATCAACTTAGTTGGTTGTGAATTTTCATCGACGGAGATGGTTCGGCCGTGTGTTACGTATACCTGAACACTGATTATCATGACGTACAATGCTCACTAGTGTTGGGGGCAGCCAAAACAAAACATCACATCAATCCTTGAAGTCACTATCTTCTAGTCTGAAACATTTTGGTAGATGCATACTACTTGATTGTGGTTCGCGTGACTATTGTAATCTAGGTGACATGGCTCAGAGTCGGTCACAATGGAGTCGGTTTATACACTCTCTGTCTTCCTTTAAACTATCAGATTAAAATTGCTTCATATCTTTATTTCAACCAACTAATTCTTTCTTCCTGTACTATATCCTTATACGTAATCGTTCTTTTATATATTACCACCATTGAACTAACTACTTTATGTAATCCGTGTTGATCTTGTTGTGATAATGATGTATGGGAACTTGAACCGATGCACATATGTGCCTGGTCCTACATTGTAGCTGACTAACTGTTAATTGATTAAATGCATCATATATTGCTGTATAGTTTTACAGTTTAATATTTCAAGTAGTTGACCGTTTAACCTAATTAGTCATAATGCCAACTTTACATTTAACTCAACTATTTTTAACACTACCCAATAGAATAGTTATACTACAATGTATCCTTCATATATAATAATATAAAACATAATTTTACTCTCTCTCCATCTTATTTCAGGTTTACATGAAGATGATTTCTCTAAACGTATTAATACATTCGGTGCTAATGTTATACCACAACAACGTGCTAAAACATTTTTAAGATTAATGTGGGAAGCTTTACAAGATTTAACATTAATTGTTTTAATTGTTGCTGCATTCATTTCACTTGCATTATCACTTTATATAAAATGTAAGTTCAATGGAGTTAAGTTATTGTTTTTCAATATTATTATTATTATTATATCTTATGTTCAGTTTAATGTGATAGATGGTAACCTTAAACTGTATCGCCTATCTTATGCATATTGTTTCGATATATTACAAGTAAGTCCTGAAGTGAACATTAAAGTCTTGGTTACATGTATATCCAGTTGATGATTGATGAATAGGATGGAATTCGATTCCTGGGTTCCACTGTTATTAACCATCCATCTCTGCTTTAGAAAAAAAATGATGCTTTTTATTTACTAGTAATATTGAAGCTAATAAGAGATCAAACAATTACACTCCTAAACATCACTGAAAAGATCTAAACAACCAATTTATTTGAATTAAAATCAATGTGATTTGTATTTATGTATTTATTTGAACACATAAATACTGGTACAAGGGGGACTGTGGTGCTGCACGGGTGCCCAAACCGAAGCAGGTGGTTATCTTAGGGGGCCACTCCCCGAGCCTTTGACCTAGAGGTCGTACCCACAAGGCAGTGGAGCATCGTAAGGAGATGCAGTCCCATAGTAGCCGGTGACCAACGATTGGTTCATACGCCATTTGTTCCCGCAGGATACTGGAGCCCATGTGCACCATCAGTTTGGGATCCGGTTAAAGCGCCAGACATTCGCTTTTCGTCCTCTCATTTTTGTAAATAACACCCCCGCCACGAGAAGGGAGTGAGTAGGACTTCTCTGGCAGAGGCTATATACGTGTGGCCATGTGAGAGCATTTGGAGAGGGAGAGCTGACTCTCCCCACTCTCGGCCGTACCAGGGCATTTGGGGGCGACTAATGTTCATGCCACTTCATGGATAACATTCTGATACCGGTTTTGAACTTCAATGCTGAAAACATTACTGAGTGAAACGCATTATAACATTCAAACGCTGAAAGATCGATTTCCTAATGTAGAAGTTTTGTACCCCTGAGACATGAATGTAAAATAGAAGACGGGATGTTTTTTAAAAGATGTCGTACTTTCAAGACTTTTTAGTTCATAAAAGACAAATGTATTTATAAGTGTCCTATGTAACTTCGAAGTTCTTGAAGCTTATGGAGAGCAGATTAAAATTAGATAAATGAGAATTGGGTAACTGTTCATTAAGGATAGTAAAAGCACCTGGTATGGCCGAGAGGGAGGAAAGTTATCTCTCCCTCACGAAATGATCTCATATGGCCACGCGTATGCAGTCACTGACAGGGATGTCTTACTCACTGCCTTCTCTCGAAGGGAGTGTTGTCTATGAAAGTGAGAGGATGGAAGGTAGACGTCCAGAGTTGTGACTGGATTGATAGATATGATTGATCCACCTAGGGGAGTTTTAAAATCCTAATTCTAAACCAGTGGTTCACATGGACTCCAGGATGCTAAAGGAAAGAATGGCGTATAAACCTATAGTTGGTCATCGACTACCATTAGACTGTATCTCCTAATGTCTCTCTACTGCCTTGTGGATTAGATCTTCAGATCGAATACTCGGCGAGTGGTTCCTAAGAAAACCATCTACATCTGTTTGTACTCCCGGGTTAGTATTTCAACCCTCATACATATCGAATGATTTATATGGCGTAAATGTATTCATTGCCTTCTTGTATCAAACAAAATCAATAAGTTAAATACAAGTTTCTTTAGAATAGTAACATAATCATTTTAGTATTTCTCCAGCTTTTGAAGACATTTTTTAACGAATTATTATTAAAACTTTTCTACATTGACTTGTAGGTGGTATTATCAGAATGAGTTTTGTGGAGATTTTAGACAATTTCACAGGTTGAAATCATGAGTCAGTTGAATCTAGACCATCATTGAAAACCTGGAAGCACTGGACGGCCGTTTCGTCCTAGTATGGAACTTTTTAGCAGTACGCATCCACGAACCCGCCCCCGCGGGATTCGAACCCAGGACCTACTGGCTTCGCGCGCGAGCACTTAGCCGTTAGACCACTGAGCCAGCACCCAACGGTGTTAATGTCTAACTTCAACACCGTTGGATGCCGGCTCAGTGGTCTAATGGCTATGTGCTTGCGCGCGAAGCCAGTAGGTCCTGGGTTCGAATCCCGCGGGGGCGGGTTCATGGATGCGCACTGCTGAGGAGTCCCATGTAGGTGGTATGTCCAGTCAACGGATGTTAAATAAGATGAAACATCTATTCGAAATCTCATTATTATAGAATATTATTTCATTGATAATCCAATTGTTACTGTAATTGTTTGTTTAAGTGTATATACATATATATCAATGTGTGTGTGTGTAATGAAGTAACTTTTTACAAAGGATTACTCTTTCATGAAACTGATTAAACTATTTATCGATTTATTATCATTTTAATATCAGAAAGGGTTTTGTAGAGATCATAACTTTGTTATGTAATACTTGTTCATTTCTTCTTTTCTGCCTACACTTTATTAGTTGACAATTAGAAATGACATATTCAAAATAACTATTTATTATTATTGAGTCATTATTTTACTTTCAATGATTCTTTATTATTTGGTATAACAATATGGAGGGTGAAAAAGAGTGAGTAAGAGAGAGAACATATTAGTGAATATGTGCATTCATGTGTTGTAAGGGTTTGGATTTCGTTTAATGCTGTTGTAAGATAATGACATGTTGTAACTTAATTGAAAGTATAATAAAATTTCTAATAGCATTAGGGGTTATTTTTAGCTTAAAAAAATAGTAAGATCAACGATCTAAACGATGTTTAGGCATATTTTATATTTAAGAATCAATGATACCTATGGTTATGTCCTGATAAGAATAATGAATAGTAACTTTTGGGATCTATTTATGGATCAATACTAAATAATTAAACTATACATATTCATGTTCCTTTTATTATGAGCTTTATTTTGACCTATGAACTATTATTATACGATTTACTATTCTTGAATTATGCTTTGTCTATTAAATACTACTCTCCCACATTTCTATTTTGTGGTACGTTGTAATCTGTTTGATTGGTATATAAATTCCGTATGATTCATATCGCAGAGGCTGAGATTGGTATTCTGGATTTAAGTGGCTGGTCTAGGTAGGAAGCAGTACCGTTAAGTACTCTAGACTGCTCGTACGGGTTTTATGTGTCATTAGTCCGATCGATAATTCGCTGCTCTCTAATCGGCGGTATCATTACGTAATACATTAACAGGGCACATAGGCCACAAGTTATAACATCTACTTTCCTATTAACAATGTAACAATGACTATGCTAGACATGTATCTCACCCTCTATACCTAAAATGCGTACCATTGTCTCTTAATTTTACAAGTTCTCTACTTTATAGTTTCATTTTATTGTCATGGTTCCATCAATATTCTGTATAACCTAATGATAATTTTCATCAAAAATAAACAACTGACATTAGTTGATAGATTATATTCACACTTATTGAGTTACTGAATAGCTAACTGTTAGGTCTGAAGCTATCACGAGTTCACTTAATCTACGAACGAGAACAAAGACTCAGTGCGTCCTAGCCCCACTAACTAGAAGGAGAAGTTCGAACTTGGAATGGGGAAGTATATTCTGCAAAACAGCCAAAAACGAGCGATAACAACAAACACAATTTAAAACGTATATATACAGTGCAAAACCGTCCTTGGGGTGAGTTACCAAATAGCATACTAAAAGACGCAACGGACCAATGGCATCTAAGATATTTCCCAGTGGGAAATACGACAACGAAGGTGACAAGAGCGCCTTTGGCACGCAAATAAAGAAATTCAAATTTTCTAATTAAAATGACAAAATTAGTTCCTTTCTCAAGTGATTTCTGAATATCTAACGTCCCCAACACTAACAATGTTCATTTACATTTCCTACTGTTCAAGTATTGACATTCGTTGTCAAATATATATATCTTTGAACCTATTACAATCCAATTTCTTTTTCCATAATTGATTATCATATCATATACATATGGATTCAACATTTATTAGTCAATATTTTATCGACTATTCGATACACTTACCCCCCCCCAATGAAGTGTCTATCAGAAACATTAGAATGAAGTAACACTATTCAGAGCGTGTTTTGTATTTGAGTTTGTTATTATTATTATTATTATTATTATTATTATTATTATTATTATTATTATTATTATTAGTTGGCATGATGATTTCATTTCTCTTCACTTTTTTTTCTTTTGTCTCGTCATATATTATCGCCAGTCTTTCTCTTTAGTCATCATTTCATTTGAAATATTCAAGACAGAAAGAAAGAAAGAAAGAAACCAAGGAAATAAATAATAATTATATATTGTTTGCCATGAAAAAAAGAATAGAAAAGTTCTTTTTTTTCTTTGGAGAGAGAAAGAGAGAGATGGGAAACTCTTAGTAAATGAGAGAAGAAAATCATTGAATTAGTTTTGTATTTCATGTTCAATTCAATTCAAAGGGAACATTGTCATATTTTTCTGTAGTCAATAGTATAAATTTGTCTTTAGGTTGTGAATCGTCGGTTTTAGTTATGTGTTTTTTTCCACTTTGATAACTGAAACTAAAAGAACAAATATAAGTAAATATAGATAGTGACTAGTAATGGAATCCAATTTGACGCACGTTTCGTCTTGTTTGGAATTCATCAGTTGAATATACCTGCATCTCAGAGTTGATATAGTCCCAGATTGAACATCAAATAGGAGGAAACGCGCGTCAAACTGGATTTCACTGTTAACCACTATCCATCTTTGTTTATAATGCTTGTAAATCAAGGCAATATCGAGGCAATACACACAGTATGCACATATGCCAATAAGTGACTGATCAATTGTAGTCCTAAGTAACAATTGGAAGATTCACACATACACACACTATTCAAAGTGAAGTACATTACCTCTACCACTACGGGATTTGAATCGACCACTGCATCTCTGTGTTAATGTGATATGGCAACTCGAACTAATGTACGTACGTAAGAAGTTCTACGTTGTTACTGACTGACTGACTGACTGACATAAATTTGTAGTTT